ATATTATAAGTATCTATAAATTGTATAGATGGACAATAATTATTTGTGTTCGATGATGATATGTAGTGTATCATGTATTGTCACAATTTTATTTTCTGTATTTAAACAGTTATCACTTTCGTTTTTTGCTTATAACAGATATAATAATAAAGCAGCAGATATCATATTTTGACACAATATAATTTGAACCTTATTCTACATATATCATATATAATCTCAAAATTGACTTTTTGCCACTTATCAGCTTTTGCCACAATGGTACAGAATTAAGTATCCCATATAATATATGTACTAAATACTTATATAAGTAAAAAAATTTTTAAAATAAATTTATTAAATTTTCGATCGGTAGTCTTATGTTATTGACTTTAAATTATATGATAGAATAGCTATACTCAATCCTTTTAAAATATAACATAACAATTAATTGTTTCCAATAATTTAATAAACAAAATGATGATTTATTAAAAATTTAATATCTACCTTTTAATGGCTCCAACACTCGTTCTATACCTTTTAAACAACCGTTACAGTTCATGTTAACATCAAAAATATATGTCTACAGAAAATACATGTAATTAACTCGTTATTATTACTTAATATTAATAATAATAAAAATAATATTTATTGGCTAATAAATTACAATTTTTATTAAGTAAATATATATATAACATAGGTAATAATAAAAAAAAAGTACAACAATGTAGTCATACAACTGTTACTGAATTCAGTGGTATCTTTAGCATTATAGAATTATAAGGTAAAAATTCTAACAATCATTTTTCATATTTTATTATAATAATCTCAAAAGATTCGTTAAAATCATCTAGAAATTCCAAGTTATTGAGATTTAAATTTTATTTCATTCATAAATAAATATATTGTGAATAGTAATAACGGCTTTTAAAATTCTTAGAAATAAAATACTTAGATATTTTTTATAAAAGTATTATTATATAAAACATGTAGACTATTTATACAATTTATTGCTAATAAAATTGTATGTGTTTTTTAACAACATTTAGTCAATTTAAGCTTTTTGGGATTCTAAAAATATTGAAAATCTAACAAAAATTCAGTTCATTAATATTGTTTGTTGCTAAAAATATAATAGAATCAAATGACCTATTGTATTTTTACAAATCACTGTAACTTATCCGAAAACAATGAAATTGAAATTTCTCAATCCATTTGTCCAAGACCGTTGGAATTTTCGGGACAAAATATACGAGCGCATGCGTCATAAGTGAATATGCATTTCATCAGATATTACATGCCTCATTTTCTAATTCGTTATTGCTGTATTATATTGACCATAAAACATATAGTTATTGTCATGCTGTAACACATATCAATATAATATGAATGAAACAATAAACTGATCTTTCTAATAGGTACCAAATATGTTTGATTATTTAACGGGAATTATACAAATTCTGCTCGAATGATTAACGTTGTATCAGAATATTATAAATAAATTAACAATACTATTTTAAAATTAAAAACCAATCACATAAAGTAAGTACTTTTACTTTCTTTAAAATTAGAAAGGAGTTTGTCAATAATACTATTTATGTTCTTTATTAAACCAAGGACAACATTCTGAATAAAGTTCACGGTGAACTATCATTGTGAAAAATTGGACAGTGGTTCCAAATATCTGATTTTTGTCAAATAATTATATCGACTAGTATTATTATTTTACTATAACTATATGTTTATCAAATTAATTATTTAATTGATTAATTAAATTAATCAAATTCTTGTCATATTAATATCTAATCATGGAAATATATTATCTTCAATAAGCTTTATTTAAATCAAAAATGCATTTATAATTCATCGCTATTAATACTATTAATGTATGTTTAAAATATATTAACAAATAAACGCTAAAAATAATACAACACAATTTACATTTTAAAATACTATTAAAATTTAAATAATAAATTTATGTATAGGTAAACTTGCGAAATTAATCATTTCAAATAATTTGTAGTTTTAATCGTTTTTATATTAGAAATAAGTATGTACAGTTGAATTTGTGATATTAAAAATAAATTAATAAAAAAATAATTCATAGACACGTGAATGAGCTACAGTTTAATTTTTATTCTACATTTATTTTTTATTAAAAATATTTTGAAGTTATGGAAATGCCTATAAGAAAATATGAAATAATAAATACATTTGTTTGTTGTTTATCGTTGAATACGGTTTATACGAGTACCTTTAAGTTATGACGTCAATTAAACCAGTAAAGTGAACCGTTTTTATAAGGTAGGTACCATGCATAATTATATGTAATATATACACTAAATAAAAAATAAAAACGTATAAATTTAAAATATTACCTGCGATTATAGCAGAGACATTTCAATAGTAGTGACTGCAATATTCGGATGGACTGTATATTAACCGCGTAATACGATGAGCAACGTTCGCTAAACAATTTCGTGCGTGGACAGGAATCGGAAAGACAATAGCAACAAATAATTTGTACGGAATCTCAAATTGCCAATCCGAAATATATATATATATAAATAGTTTATTATTGTATTTTAGTATTATTTTCTAATAGTTATTTTGATTTTTTTTTTTTTTTTGTTTTAATTACACTTGTATACGTAACTTGGATTACTCGTTTAGTAAACTAAAAAACACTAATTAATAAAATAAAAACATTTGATACGTCTCGATAACTTCACAAATCGCATTCACCACCCAATGACTTTCAATATGAACTGATATCGAAACAATAAAAGAAAATATTCTTTTAATACACGTTGTATGTATATATATATGTATGTATTGCGCCCACTGCTCGCCTAACGTATGTTAGATGAAAACCTTACTAGTACGATGGAAAGAGAATGCACTGAACTAGAACAGTTTTTTTTTCATTGAGAAAACACTGTAAACGTGAATACAACATCCATACTTCTATAGCAATACATACTCAATACTGCAATTACGTATTTTAGCGTAGCGATATTGTTTAGAAATTAAAAATAATGTGTTTATTCTAAATAACAACACTTGAATATCCAAATTACTTGAGTACGTATATTTTATATCTTATAACATTTATTAACGTTTAAAATATGTTAAAAATTGTAATTACGTTACTGTACATTCAAGTACGATAATTCAAAACATATAACACATTATGGTTTATTATAAATAAAGTAATATCTACATCTTCAGTGATATTATAGGTATTTACTGAAAAATTATTATTAAATGAAAAATCTGTTTTAATATACCTGATAGTATCAGGTAATTGGAACTATGGAACATTCCGCAGTATCAGGCTGATAAGAGTTGTTCTCTGTTAAGAGGTATCTGTTATGTAAAATCTTATAAAAAAAAAAAAAAAAAATGTAATAACTATTACTTATTATTTTAATTTTAATTTTCACTTAAGTTGTTAAAGTTTAAATCTAGTAGTATATTTTATAAATTATATATTTATTTCTATGATACATTGCACTGATATTATTTAAAAATGAAAATTGACAACTGAAAATATAATTGTAATTATCAAATATAATGTTATTTTAATTAATTTTTAAATCTTAAACAGGCCGTTAATAAATTTTGATTTTTAATTCACTTTTTATTTAAAATATAAAAAAACAATAAATATGCAGTTCACCGTATTTTATTTATTTATTTAAGATGAAAGACATTTTTAATGATAACATTAAAATTATAAAAATCTTTGTTGTTATACGTTTTGATTTATATAAATTATAAATCATGAGTATTAGAGAGGAATTAATATAAACCACAATGTCCGATGCTGCATTAACAAATTATGAGTATTTGAAAATAAATAAGAGTAAATAAATAAAAAGTAAAAACAAAATATAAAAAAAAAAAACGTAAGAACTCTATAATTAAATATAATCTATAATTAATTAAAAAATTGATAGGTAATACATAAATGCAGTAATATTGCCTATACATTACGCCGTAATATAAATTATAAATTTAATTATTTTACTTTTCATACAAAATTATGATAATTTTCATTTTAAAACCAAATATTTATTAATTTTAATGAATGCTTACATTTTAATATTTGAATTTAAACTTAAATCCTTCAAATTGAATTTCATTAATGTTAGAATATTTGACACACCTTTATTTTTTTACCATACAACACGTCACTTTTTCAACTATCAATTAGTTATTTAAATTATTGTAAAAGTAATGCATTTATATATATATATATATAACTATTTCTATATTATCATGACAAATATTAACTAGTCTGTAATAATTTATAATAATTTATATAAATAAAGCAAAATAATAAGAAGATAGCAAAGAATAACAATAAAAGATAGAATAAGAAACGAATATGTGAGTAAACAAATATATGGTACTATTGGTGTAACGTTTATAGTAGACAAAATGAGAGAAATTAGATTTAAATGGTTTGGGTAAGTGATTGAAGAGGGGAAACAAATTCAGTAAGAGATGTTATGAAAATAAACGTTGGAGTGATAAGAGGAAGGAGAAGACCAAAAAAGAGATGGTTAGATATGATTGAGAATGACATGAGATCCGTTGGCATATGCGTTAGAGATACAGAAAATCGAGACGAGTGGAGGCTTAGGACAAAAGTGATCGACCCTAAATAGTTGGGAGAAAGGTAAATGAGAAGAAGGAAATCTTAGTATACCAGTATAGTACAATCGGTTTATTTTGAATTTTTTTTATTTAAATATTAATGACATATTTATACTAATTTTTAAATGAAATAAATTATAAATTTATTTATTCATGGTATAAATTATTAATATGTATTACAAATTATATATATTCATAATTACATTTTTATGTTTAATTTATATAAATTATACGAGTAGATGAATCATTTTGTTACTCATAAATAAAATGTTTTAAATATAAATGTATTACTTATGATATTGATGATAATTTTTAATTGTTAATAAAAACTTAAAATATAAATTCATAAATACATAGGCTTAAATAATAATAAAAATAATAATTTTAATAATATGTATACATTACAATTATATTTTTTTTATTTTCATAAATCAAAACTTCTGATTCCTGATCCTCCAAAACCCCCATTTCCAGATGCACCAAAACCAACACCACCACCAAAGTGTCCTCCTCCAATACCTCCTAAATGAGGTCTTGAATGAGGTCTTTGATTTTGAATTTGTACATTTCCATTTCCATTGCCACCGTTAAATCCACCTACCGAACTAAATCCTTCTTCACTTTCTCCAAAACCCTCACCAGTTCCAGTACTAAAACCATTTCCTATCCCACCACTAAATCCATTGCCTTGTCCAGCACCAAATCCATTCCCAACATTTCCTCCAGATGTTCCAACATTACCTGCCCCAAAGCCATTTCCAGATCCTCCACCATTACCCTCACCAAAACCATTTCCTGATATCCCATTGTTACCTGTTCCAAATCCATTTCCCGATGACCCTACCGATCCTCCTCCGATACCTGCCCCAAAACCATTTCCTGATCCTCCATTGTTGCTAACTCCAAAACCATTTCCGGATGTTCCACTATTACTTGTACTAAAACTATTTCCAGATCCTCCTCCAATACCACCCCCAAAACCATTTCCTGCGCCAAAACTATTTCCCGCAGCACCACTGTTAATTGCACCAAAATTATTTCCAGATACTCCACTATTACTTTCTCCAAATCCATTTCCAGATCCTCCAACAGATCCTCCACCATTACCCATTCCAAAACCGTTTCCAGATCCTCCTCCAATACCTCCCCCGAACCCATTTCCTGATCCTCCACCACTACCTATTCCAAAACCATTTCCCGTTGCCCCTCCCGATCCTCCTCCGTTACCTGCCCCAAAACCGTTTACTGATCCTCCACCATTGTTTATGCCAAAACCATTTCCAGATCCTCCACCATTACCAAAACCATTTCCCGATATCCCATTGTTACCTGCTCCAAAACCATTTCCAGATGTTCCCCAATTATTAGTTCCAAATCCATTTTCAAAACCAGTTGCCGCAGATCCTCCATTAACATTTCCGAAACCATTTCCAGATGTCGTTCCACTATTAGCTCCAAATGTATTACCCATAGCTTGACTATTTTCGCCTTCGAAGCCATTTCCAAACCCTTCTCCACCACTACCTGAAATACCACCAAACTCATTTCCTCCACCAAAACCTCCACCTGATCCAGACCCAAATCCATTTGCACCATTTGATCCACTTCCAAATCCCATACCGCTTCCAGCCCCAGAGCCACTGCTTCCAAATCCGTTTGCTCCATTAGCACTTCCAAATCCACTGCCAAATGCATTACCGCTTCCGGCTCCTGCTGCATTGTTTCCAAATTCATTAGCTCCACCAGCAGTGCCAGATACACTTCCAAATCCCATACCGCTTCCAGCCCCAGAACCACTGCTTCCAAATCCGTTTGCTCCATTAGCACTTCCAAATCCAC